GACATGGTTTGGTTGTGGTATAAGCAGTATTAGTTTAATAGTTGGAATGGATCATCCTAAAGGTGTTTTCCAGCCTAAAAGATTTTATGATTCTATGATTCCAGTGCCCAGCACCACCGTGTGCCTCTATCTCAAGCCTTTTAATTTAGTCACACATCCGAGCCATCTCTGCATTTGGCAGCTTCTTGACCAGCATATCCAAGCTCAATTCTTTCCATTCTTCCCAGGTTACTGTGACTTTTAGTCAAGCCCACATGATTGAATTTTCAGACTAATTTTCCCCAATTTGGTATCGGTACATGACTCCTTTCCTCTAAGACCTGAAGTACTCGGTACGGTCCCAACTTGTCTGCCACTCCTGCCCTCCTTTTGCAAACATGGGCCTGTTGTCCCATCACGCCTCCTCTGCATCCCAGCCCGCATCTCCAGGTTCCCCTCAGTCCTCCCTGTCAGCAGCAGGAGCGCGGCTGCCGCTGGTGGGCAGGGGGGCAGCCTGGGGCTATGGATGAAGCCAGCCCCACCGTGGCGCCGGGTCGTGCTTGGGCACGACCCGCGGGGGGACATAGCATGGGGAGAGCCCGCGGTCCCAAAGCTGCTCTCAGGGCACCAACACTGGCTTTGAAGACAAACCTGCTGGGTCGTGCTTGGGCAGCCAGGACCCACGGGGTGACAGAGTGCAGGGAGCGCCCACGGTCCCAGAGCCGCTCTCAGGGGACCAACACTGGCTTTGAAGACAAACCTGACCCTTTTAGCACCATTCGGTGGTGCCAAACGGGATGTGGGTGGTCCCCTTGCAGTGCTGCTCAAGGGGAAGTTTGCATGTTTCAAGAGTTTCTTAACCAACTGTAGATATTTTGAAAGCTCTGACTTTGCTATCAAGGCAAATAGTTACGGCAATTTTCATCTTGGGCTCAGTTTAGAAAATCATTTTATACAACAGAATTAATTGATGTTTCTGTTTAATTAAAATAATACATTTTTTACAGAGGAAGAAACGTAAATGTCATTTTAAGACTGATTTTAGTTCTCAGAGAAATGCTATTCTCTGTCAAATACTACTGTCATTCTGACAGACCTGAATTAGAAAACATAATCAGAATATTATGAAGTAAGCTTTTTATTGGTGATGTGTTGAATTATACACTTCTTAAGAGATCTAAATGTTAATTTTGTTGAATGTAAGCAAAATGCAATTCCATTTGCTGCATATTAGATGCTTTTGCTAACAGCTAATTTAATTAAGAGAGAGTTTGCTTTTTTCCCTGACCGTGGTGAGGCATCTAAAATTAAATTAATATCCTGAACGATGCAAAGTAAACAATGGCAGTGAAATCTTACTGGCACATGCTGGTTCCCCCAACCCCTTCAAGCACAGTTTCTGGTCACCTGGGAGAGAACATTGGCTGTGATTCAGTGTTTCTGGAGGAAGCTGCTTAGAGACCAGAGAAAAAGTCTGGGCAACAGGTTCACGTAGAAAGAAATGATGTGGCAATGGAAATTTTCCTTTTCTGTTTTATCCATCCCGGAGCAAATATTTCATTCATACCTGGGTTTAAGCTCAAGTGGCACAATCTGCTGCTGTTGGGGAACAGAGGAGCCAGAGGAAGGACTTGGTGCGGTAAGCACATCCTCTGATGGTACCTAGGTGATGGAGTTGTGGAAGAGTACAGCGGTGCTGTAGAGAGCTGCCAGGCCTGCGGGCAGCTATGGGCAGGCTGGGCCTCGGGACTCATTTCTGAGTGGGCAGTGACCTTGCCTCTTGTACCTACACTTTGGTTCCACTGCATTTCAGGCTTTTGGCAGACAGAAAACACCTAGAAATTCTGGACAAATAGCCAGTGCACATGGCCTGAACAACTTGCCCTACAAGGGACAGAAATCTCAACCCATCCTATGCACCTCGTCTACGTGTGTTGTCCCACATATTTAGACTCATGTGACACATCCTGCTTCTGCTTCACGAGTTTTAGGGATGTGGCAAGGGGGAGCAGTTCTTCCCTGGGGGGATGGAAATACGAACTGCAACAACTGCAACGTAATTCCTGAACTTCTGCATAAAATACGTTTGCAAATTGTAGGTTCACACAGGTCGTTTTATCTGAAGGAAAAGAAAGAACAGCCCTTCAGCACAGCTGTGATTAATGAATAATTGAGGAAAAAATGGTTTTATGGGGAATTCATTAGAAGAGAGAACGTGTGTGTGTACACAGTATGACAGTGGGGGTGGGTTGACCCTGGCTGGAGGCCAGGTGCCCACCAAAGCTGCTCGGTCACTCCCCTCCTCAGCTGGGCAGGGGAGAGAAAATACGATGAAGAGCTCATGGCTCCAGATAGGGAGAGGGAGAGATCATTCAGCATTTACTGTCACGGGCAAAACAGACTCAGCTTGGAGAAAAAATTAATTTCTTATCAATGAGAATAAAAAGACAACTAAACCCAAATCTAAACACACCTTCCCCTCACCCCTCCTTTCTCCCAGGCTCAAATGCACCCTTGTTTGCTCTACCTCCACCACCCCGAGTGGCACAGGGCAACGGGGGTTGTGGTCGGTTCCTCACGCAGTCTCTGCTGCTCAGAGGCAGGACTTCACACACTTTCCTCCTGCTCCAGCATGGGGTCCCTCCCGTGGCAGACAGGCCTCCACGAGCTTATATTAAATCAGATCTGGATTGATGCAGAAAATGGATATGCCTTGACGGGACCTGGAAAAAATTAACATGAAGGTATTGCTGTTCCTTGATTTGCATAGAATTTGAACTTTCTCTGTGTTTGGCCTATAATGAAATTGGAACCTAAAAGATTCAAAAGATTAAAAATATTTTCCTGCACTTTCCTCAAAAACAAGCATTAACAGAGAGAGAATACCATTGGCCTGGCCCAGGATTTTGGCTCCTGTTTATAGTACGCTGGAATTTTTAACCAGATCCAGTTTGAGATGCCAGCACTAAACCCCTCCTAA